TGTAACTTTTTGCATTCCAGAAAGATCAATATCCTCCAAATCAAAAAAGTTTTGCAAAATTTTTAAATTGTCACGGAAAAGTATTGTCGCAAAGAACAATAATTTGGTAATTATAATTAAATGTGTTAGCAAAATACAATGTATATTTTAGTTACTTCCATGTTACTCCGTNTTAAAATGTCACGAAAAAGTATTGTCGCAAAGAACAATAATTTGGTAATTATAATTAAATGTGTTAGCAAAATACAATGTATATTTTAGTTACTTCCATGTTACTCCGTGGGCTCCAGAAGTGTTTGATGAATGTTTTAAATAATAATATTTCTTAACTTCTTGTTTTAGGGGTATCTCAAACCGTGACTTTGTATATATTCATCTTTACTGTAGGAGGAAAAAATTATCCCTTACGAATAACAGAAAGCAGATAGACATGTGAATATCTTTTATACAGAAAATTATAATTATTGTTGGATGAAGGATACTGTATATCTGGATTAGTAAATTCATAAGTAATAAAAAATGGTCATGAACATATCCATGTGAAAGATGTCTAGCATATTGCTAGACTTGAAAGTTTGGTGCCAATTTTCTATAAAAGTCCTAAAAAGATAGTTTTAATTTAATGTTTTAAGAGCATCATTCTATTGAGCACAAAAGTTTACATTAATTCCTGGATTCACCAAATAAAATATTTAAATACTTAAAAATCGCATGAAAGGTTTTTTTGTATTGCAGAATATCACAGCAATAATTTAGCAAAATATGGATATACTGTATTTTTATCTTAGTGAAACTGAAAATTCTGCAAGCTGTGTGTATAATTTTAGGGCATACGTAGAAATTTGGAACAAATTTATACTTCCAATTCTCTTAAACGATTGAAAACATGTTTATCTTAATATAGAACATTAATATGCTAACATTTTTGTGAACTGTTAACTGAGGGCTATGTGCATGGAAAACAATTAGCCCAGGGGTGTCCATAGGGTTGCCACCTCAGAACTTAGTCTCGCCCGGAGACGATGATTTAAGAAACAAAAAAACCCATATGCATACATATACAGTTTTTTTATTTTTATAAATCCCATAAAAAACAATTAAATGTTAATCGTGCGTCATTAAATGTTGATTAAAATCGCGATAAAATTTTTTCGCGCGGGTAAAATTTTTGAATTAAAAAACATCAAATATATATATATAATATCAAATCAAATATCAAATATATGNGGGTCCAACAGACCGTTTGTTATGTAATGCTATTTAACCTGCTCAAGTCTAACTCTAACTATATACTATAACTTATCATTAATCATCAACCAACATGAACACTGATTATCAAACTATCAGCTATGTACGCTATATCATTTCACTCTCAATAGACATCTCTTGACAGAACAGTCACAAGAAAGAGTACATCTACATAGCATGCAGCAGCACTGCGCCTATGCCAGTTATAGACGTTATGTCTTTAAGCCAACGACTACCACACTAGTAATTCGGTACACGGGGGAAGAAATATATGCGATGGTTTGCATATAATTTTGTACATATTCATTTCAACTTGCACAACCCGGAGCCCGGAGATAACTCACTCAATCCCGGAGTCTCCGGGTCAAACCCGGATAGGTGGCAACCCTAGGTGTCCAGCCCGCGGCCTAATAAACATGTAAACAAAACCGACAAATTTTATTTTTTTTATTTATTTCAACGGCATAAACTAAAAAAAAAATTTCACAGAGCCGTAAACCTTTATACATATTTTATTTTGAGTGGAAAGCGAATATTTTCAAATACTTGGAAATGTATGATGATGAAGGAATACTAAATAAAGCTGGAGTTGTGACTCAAAGGATTATAGACTCAAATTCGGGGAAAGGAGAGAAAGACCAAAAGACAAATAGTAGTGAAAGGTTAAATAGACTTTGTTATGCAAATATTGATCCTTACTTTTCTCAACCTTCCTCACTTCCTTGGGGATAAAAAATTTCCCCGCATTTGGGTCTATAATCCTTTGAGTCCCAACTCAAGCTTTATTTAGTATCCCTTCCAGCATTGCAAGATTTGGCTACCCTATTTTTAGTTTGGCGTAAAAAATATCATTTCGTGCATTGGCTACTTTTTATTTATAAAAATATATTAGTTGAATAAAAATGCACTTTAAAATGATGTTTCGTCGTTTTTTATTAATTAGAGACCCAAATAAAACAAATATTTGTTTTTCAAATAAATTTTTGTCTGTCTCCTTTATAATAAATGAATTTATCTTTTATAAGTAAAAATTGAAAGTGTCTGTAGAAGTAATTTTTTAAAATATCCTTTTTCGTGATAAAGTTTTAATACTTATTACTATAATCTAGACATGTTAATCCTTAAATATACTTGTATATGTAAGGATTGGGCCACAAGTATACTGTGGCCCAAAACTCTATGACTTCTTCCAATGTGGCCCAGAGAAATAAAAAAGTTGGACACCCCTGAATTAGCCTATCTTTTTCTCATTACAAAATTTATAATTGTGATAATCAGATGTGAATGTGTAAATAATTTTTAAAAAATTGCACATAACCATTTTGGCTTCAAAATGTTATTTCCTCAGAGGAACTTAAATCTCTGTGCATTGAATGTAAGTGCTGAGTAGTAAGTCCCATAAAGAAAACAAATACATCAAAAATATGATGGTAACAAAACTACAGAAATCATTGACACACTAGAACACTCCCATTTCTACAAAATACTTCTATAAACAGAGTACACACTTAATATCAAGTGAAAGAAATATTTTGCAAGGTCTCAAAAATTTTCAAACTGAATGTGTATGAGAAATAAATCCATTTAAGCCAAGTCTTTGGGAAATACACATTCAAATATGGTGGTACTAACCATTGTTGTAATCATTTCCTTTATGCTAAACTTGTACATTTGAATATTTCTGATCTTACACGTGTTAAATGATTAATAATTGACATATTAAACTCAATTAGGTGGGGTTTTCTGTAAAAAAATGAGTGGAATTTCTGCAGAATGGTAGCTGCCAGGTTACTGCATGGTGCATTGTTTTTCGGTAGACAGAAGATGGAAGAATTTGTTTCAAGTTGGTCTGTTTCCTTGGACTCGCATTAGCATGCAGTAGTAGTAATATTCTTGTGACTGTAATTCTTAAGAAATGTTTGTGAATGATGCTTAAGAATACATAGGTAGAAAAATACCTTTTTAGACATGAAACCGATATTGTAAAAAGAACTAATTTTATTAACAGTTTACTTGTTTAATAATAAAGTCAAAACAAGATAATATTCCAAATTATCCTTCAAAACTTTATTAAATAAATTAATATATTGCAAATCATAATTTAAGCATTATACATCAAAAAATATGTCACACTGTATAAATAACTCATATGAAATATTTTTACTGCATCTCATTAAACTTTCCATAATTCTATATTGACTTTGTTATTACATTGAATTTTTGCTCCCAGAGCAGTGAGAAGACAGAAATCTCCATACGACAAGTTTTTGAAATCCACAAAAATATTGCAAAACAGGAAAGCTATTTTAAAAAAATGGATTGGAAAACTTATCGTTAGGAGATTTTACATTATAAATACTATTATATATAACAACCGATTTTAAGACAGTTTCATTTATGGTGATTCTGGAAGACGACTGTCACGACTCTTGTTGAATTTTGTTATAAAATTTGCTTTAAATTTATCTACATATATATTGACTATACAATTTTTAATTTAAAAATTTACACGATAAATAATTATATCTTAATATACAACAATTTGTTTTTAATTATGTTTCAAATGACATATATTTTCAAAATATAAGTATTTGAAAGCTCATTTTATACTCTCTAAACTATTCACGTAAAAAAATCTATTAAAGCTCATATCTTTACTTATTTAGTAAATTTGTACATTTTCTAAAATCACAGAATTTGTTTTTGTTTACTGGAAACAAGGCACTTTAAATTGCATTCCTCAACCAAATTTATGATAATGGCACTGAGTATTCGATGCATCACTCCAAGATAGTGGCTTTTTGCATAGCTTGAACCCATCTGAAAGAAAAAAAAAATTCCATTAAAATTTTTTGAAAAATTAAAAAATTATTTTTAACTAAAATATTAAATGTTTGACTTTTCTGGATCTGAAAAAAGCATTTAACAAAGTACCATATGAGCTGATATGGAGAGCACACAATGTACCTGAAGCCTATGTGAAATGGACTCAAGCTTTTATACCATAACATCACCAGTGTGGTGAGTTGCCCGGCTGGAATTTCACTGCCTTTTCCAATAACTGTGGGAATGCATCAGGGATTGGCATTTGTAAAGTAGTGACCTCTTAGCAGAGGGGGAACAAAAGAGGCGCGACCTTGTCAATTGGACCCACGTGCGGTTGGGTAATACCACTTGNCAAAATATAAGTATTTGAAAGCTCATTTTATACTCTCTAAACTATTCACGTAAAAAAATCTATTAAAGCTCATATCTTTACTTATTTAGTAAATTTGTACATTTTCTAAAATCACAGAATTTGTTTTTGTTTACTGGAAACAAGGCACTTTAGATTGCATTCCTCAACCAAATTTATGATAATGGCACTGAGTATTCGATGCATCACTCCAAGATAGTGGCTTTTTGCATAGCTTGAACCCATCTGAAAGAAAAAAAAAATTCCATTAAAATTTTTTGAAAAATTAAAAAATTATTTTTAACTAAAATATTAAATGTTTGACTTTTCTGGATCTGAAAAAAGCATTTAACAAAGTACCATATGAGCTGATATGGAGAGCACACAATGTACCTGAAGCCTATGTGAAATGGACTCAAGCTTTTATACCATAACATCACCAGTGTGGTGAGTTGCCCGGCTGGAATTTCACTGCCTTTTCCAATAACTGTGGGAATGCATCAGGGATTGGCATTTGTAAAGTAGTGACCTCTTAGCAGAGGGGGAACAAAAGAGGCGCGACCTTGTCAATTGGACCCACGTGCGGTTGGGTAATACCACTTGTAAAGTATTGACTTGTAAACAAGGGTAAGCAAAGGAAGCGCCGGCTTTGTTAATTGGACCCACCTGCAGTCAGACGGTAATACAATTGCCATATCATAAACAAACGAACGTAAACAAGTGGCGGACGTTTGTGTGAGCTTCACTCTCGTCGGATGACGGCGGACCTGAGTGTAAGCTGTTCGGGCATAAAAAAGGGTTGTGATTGGTCGGAAGTTCCCGTTCCAAAATCCCTTAAATTGCGGGCTGAACGAGAGGGAAAGAGAGAAGGGCAAGAGACTGATACACGGTTGTCTCAGGCACTTGGGAAGCCCGCTGAGCGTAAAGAGAGAGTGTTCTCCTCTGTTAATCTTATCAGGGACGGGTTAGTGCTGAGACCGGACCGACCGTGCAGTTGAGCCGACTCCAAAAGCTGACTGAGGTCTCCCCCAAGAGTATTAGTTTCCAGACGCCAATCTGGCACGTGAATTCATCACCCATGATCTTCCTGTACATATACTATGTTTATAACTTGTACAATTGTAAATAAACTATATATATATTCAATTTGAGTGTGGAGGTGTACTTTCCGACGAACCTGATTCACCGCATTGAGTTGTGATACACAAGAAACCAACCCAACGAGGCGGAGTTGGGAAGGAACATTTTCAATAAGATCTTCACTGGCGCAGTCTTCGGCAGGATAGTCTTGCAACTCTTCAGGAGATTCTCGCAAGAAGACAGGGAAGTACTGAGCCCACATTCAAGGACTTAAGAAGAAAGAAAACAGCGCAGGACACTTACAAAAGGAAGAGCAGCCGGAAATCGAGGCGGAACGCAGCTATTGGTAAGTTGTTCTTAATTATTCGTATTCAGAATGCCGGGACGCGGAAGGACTCAAGGGTCAAAAAAGGGAATGTCGTGTTCCAAGGATCTGGGAGGTCGGACTGGTTTTAGTCAATCCCAGGAAATGGATACGGAGTCGGAAAGGGAAATCTTAGAGGTCGAGGTCATGGATAACCAGAATAAAATAGAGGGACAGATAGAGTCAGACAATGTAGAGAAATTACGCCTACGAATTAGGCTAGCTGAAATAGAATCTAAAAACAAGGAAATGGACGTTAGAAAAAGTGAAATTGAGATGGAAATTAGAAAAAGCGAAATAGAATTAGAAAGAGATTGGTTACGAAATGACTCCAGGGCTAGTAATAACTCTGAGCTAGGGGGTAACTTGGATAGTCTAGCTAGGAAAATCAGATGGGCTTTACCCAAAATGCCGGACAAGGAGGCGGAAGTACCTTCATGGTTCCGTGCTGTGGAAGTTGTATTACAAACATACGACGTACCGGAAGAGCTTCAGGGACAATTAGTTTTAACGGTATTATCTGAGAAATGCAAAACAGCTTTAAGTAGACTCACGGCAAATGAAATCAGAGACTACGAAACTTTAAAACAATTCGTGCTGGACGAATTAAAGTTGTCTGCTGCAGAGTACCTTAAGGAGTTCACTTCCTCCGAAAAGGGAAGTAGGGAAACATGGCCCCAATTCGCGGCTAGGATGGAAGACCTTTATCGGTACTATTTGAATAGTAGAGGCGTAGATTCCTTCGAAAGATTGACGAAGCTAGTTGTTTCTGATCATCTTAAGACTAAGCTAGATGCCGACACTAGGTCTTATGTTTTGTTGCAAGAGGGTAAGGGTTGGTTCCCGCCGGATGAGATAGCCAGATACGCTGAGAAGCACGTGGAGGCTGTAGGAAAGGGAGAATTTAGATGTAAATCTGAGAGAGGTAAAAAAGTACCGTACCGCGACCGGTATACGGAAGCGAGAACCACCGAGAAACCGGTAGAGGCGACTGCGAACAATAGGGAAGAGAGGGAGTCTAAAATCAAATGCTTCACATGCGGCTTAGTGGGACATTTTAGCAGAAATTGCCCTCGGAGGCGTATTAAGGAAGAAAGGTCGAAACCCAAGGCAACGCGAGCAGTTAAAGTAGACGAAACTGTAAGACCCAGCGACCAGCTAATCGCCAGAGTGAATATTGATGAGGACGCAATCAATGAGAACATACCTGCTAGCGCTAGCAAAAACGTTGAGCTTGCTTGTCAGGATCGTCAGTTTTCTGCGATAGTGGATACCGGAGCAGAAATAACGGTAATCAGGAAGGCTCTGATACCCGATCACATGTCTCGTGCTGCGGGAAAGATAAGGCTGATCGGTGCGTTCGGACAACAGGTAACTGCGGCCTTGGTTACCATTCCTGTCAGCTTGAAAAGACGGTCGGACAGAAAAGAAGCAGATTATACCCCAGTTCTAATAACTTGCGCCCTAACTGATGAGCTTAGCGGTACCACGGATGCATTAATTTCCGCAGCCGATTATTGCTCTTTGGAGGAGGCTAAGCGGGCTGAGACGNCGGTATTATCTGAGAAATGCAAAACAGCTTTAAGTAGAGTCACGGCAAATGAAATCAGAGACTACGAAACTTTAAAACAATTCATGCTGGACGAATTAAAGTTGTCTGCTGCAGAGTACCTTAAGGAGTTCACTTCCTCCGAAAAGGGAAGTAGGGAAACATGGCCCCAATTCGCGGCTAGGATGGAAGACCTTTATCGGTACTATTTGAATAGTAGAGGCGTAGATTCCTTCGAAAGATTGACGAAGCTAGTTGTTTCTGATCATCTTAAGACTAAGCTAGATGCCGACACTAGGTCTTATGTTTTGTTGCAAGAGGGTAAGGGTTGGTTCCCGCCGGATGAGATAGCCAGATACGCTGAGAAGCACGTGGAGGCTGTAGGAAAGGGAGAATTTAGATGTAAATCTGAGAGAGGTAAAAAAGTACCGTACCGCGACCGGTATACGGAAGCGAGAACCACCGAAAAACCGGTAGAGGCGACCGCGAACAATAGAGAAGAGAGGGAGTCTAAAATCAAATGCTTCACATGCGGCTTAGTGGGACATTTTAGCAGAAATTGCCCTCGGAGGCGTATTAAGGAAGAAAGGTCGAAACCCAAGGCAACGCGAGCAGTTAAAGTAGACGAAACTGTAAGACCCAGCGACCAGCTAATCGCCAGAGTGAATATTGATGAGGACGCAATCAATGAGAACATACCTGCTAGCGCTAGCAAAAACGTTGAGCTTGCTTGTCAGGATCGTCAGTTTTCTGCGATAGTGGATACCGGAGCAGAAATAACGGTAATCAGGAAGGCTCTGATACCCGATCACATGTCTCGTGCTGCGGGAAAGATAAGACTGATCGGTGCGTTCGGACAACAGGTAACTGCGGCCTTGGTTACCATTCCTGTCAGCTTGAAAAGACGGTCGGACAGAAAAGAAGCAGATTATACCCCAGTTCTAATAACTTGCGCCCTAACTGATGAGCTTAGCGGTACCACGGATGCATTAATTTCCGCAGCCGATTATTGCTCTTTGGAGGAGGCTAAGCGGGCTGAGACGAATGAACGGTTACAATCAGTCGTGAATGAGATTATTATAGAGCGCGATGCAAGCCCGATGGCTGACGGTGAGGACAGTATCGAGAGTTCAGACGTAAGCGACGAAAGCAAACGATCACTCCATGAGGCGCAGGTTAGGTTAGGTTAGCTAAATCCCAACTATCCTTGAGGGATGAGACCCTCAAGGATAGTTGGGATTTAGCTAAACAAGGGAAGAACGGGTACACCATAGAGGGGGGTCTTTTATATCATGTGGATCAGTGGTATGGCAGGAGAATAAAGCAGGTAGTTATACCACTGGAACATAGGGGGCAGGTACTAAAGTTGGCCCATCAGTCCCCTTGGGGAGGACATTTAGGAAGTCGCAAGACCACTAGCAGAATCAGAGAAGCATTCTTCTGGCCGAGTTTGGCGACGGATGTGAAGAGATATTGCCAAGCTTGCCATAGATGCCAGGTACGCGCTCCCTATCGGAAGATTGATCGTACGCCGATTAGTCCCCTCACTAGGCCGGATAGAGCGTTTCAGGTGGTGAATCTGGACGTAATTGGTCNACCCGAGTGTAAGCTGTTCGGGCAAAGAAAAGGGATTGTGATTGGTCGGAAGTCCCCGTCCAAAAACCCTTAAATTGCGGGCCGAACGAGAGGAAAAGAGAGAAGGGCAAGAGACTGGTACACGGTAGACTCAGGCACTTGGGAAGCCCGCTGAGCGTAAAGAGAGAGTATTCTCCTCTGTTAATCTTCTCAGGGACGGGTTAGTGCTGAGACCAGACCGACCGTGCAGTTGAGCCGACTCCGAAAGCTGACTGAGGTCTCTCCCAAGAGTATTAGTTTCCAGACGCCAATCTGGCACGTGAATTCACCACGCATGATCTTCCTATACATATGCTACGTTTATAACTTGTACAACTGTAAATAAACTATATATATATTCAATTTGAGTGTGGAGGTGTACTTTCCGACGAACCTGATTCACTACATCGAGTCGTGATATACAAGAAACCAACTCAACGAGGCGGAGTTGGGAAGGAACATTTTTCAATAAGATCTTCACTGTTTGTAATAGGATAATGCTATTCCTCACAGGGCATGGGTGGCACAATGGTTCAAGAACACTTGACAGATTTTCAGCTACTCCTTTGACTGCCTTGGTCACTGGACTTGAACCCCATCGAGTATTTATGGGACACTGTGCAAATGTTACTCAATGTCTTGCAGAACTATCCAACAAATGCAACTGAATTATGGAGAATCTGACACATTGAATGTGTCAGAATTGAAATACCTGTGCAACAACTCAGACACCTTGTAGAGTCTAAACCACATCTTGTAGCCAATGTTATTCAGGCTCAGGGAGGAGCTACACATTATTACTCTAATTTTTTGGCACTTCAGTTTATATGTTAAATAATACATATCATATTGAATAAAAAAACCTTAGTAATCATAATTGTAAACTCAACAGTTTCTGACATATTAACAATTTTGTACATTAGTATTATGACTTATTGGATTTTTACATCTTGCATGAGATGTGAAAAAAGGATCATTTGAGCTGTAAAAGACAAGTTTGAGGGTGAAGTGCAAAGATATACTATAAGAATTATTAATATGTTAATAATTCATTGTACACAGTAAAACTTATAATAATGCATAATTCAATACAATTTAAATTATTTTAAAAAATTTGCTTGAAATAAGCTCTTTATAACAAAAGTTTGTTGGTTCTTTACAATCTATTTTATATTAATGCATGCTTAATTTACCTCATGTACTTCTCTGGCATTGTCATGGATGGAAACAATGTGAGTAATTTCATTGGCTCGGAGTTGTTCTTCATCTTTAGCATCTCTAAAATTTCCAACATAAAGGCCAGGTAGGACCTAAATCATATTAATATAATTGTTCAGAACTGTTCAAATATATACAAATAAATTATTTTGTACTAGTAATATTTTATTAAGACAACCAATTTTTTTGTGTTTAGTGTTGTCAACTTGTTAATAGCTATTCAAAACACTAAACATGGAGGAAAATTTACACATATAACAGAATATATTCTATGATCCTGAAAATTGGATCAGTTGACCTGTTGTAATTCAATCTGTAATTCATTGTAATTCATTTAAAATTACATTATCATCATTTATTACATATTGTAACCACCTTTTTAATTTGTGACTGTACTGTAATTTAAAGTTAGAAATTTCATATGTTTATTGCTTATCATTATTTAATTATAAAAATTAAAATAAAAACTTAACTCATAAATTATAATATACAAAAATTATTGAATTATAAATATAAGAAATATTTACACCATTAATTAACAATAAACCAATACTTTAATTGCAAATGTTTTCAAGGAAAAATTGGAACTGAGCAAATAGTAACTGATATGAAAGAACGAAAATTTAAAAATTAAATCAAACATATTTAAAATATAACTTAGATTATGATAAGTTACATTTTAAATACATTTGATTTAATTTTTAAATTTTTGTATCAGTTATATTTTACATGTTCCAATTTTTCTGTTGTTTGATGCCTGTTGATGTGGCCCATAATCAGGTTAAAAATATTTGTGTTTAAAATATTTGTGTTTAAAATATTTGTTCATTATTATGATGTGAGTTTTTCTTAGTTTATATTTATTATTATTCCTGTTCTTCATCAACTACTGAAACTCAGCATTTAATAATTTATAATTAAACATTCTTGTTATGAATTCTTAATTAAAAGAAAAGAATTTAAGTACAGGTTTTCATTTTTAAACATTTTTGAATTAATTAAAGTTTCATTTTAATTATACATTTAGAAAAGTTAAAAGTAGGAAAAGTTTATAATTCTATAAACTATATTATACAATCTCTCATTTATTAAGTATATAATAGCAGTAAATCTGAAAAAGCAATACAAAAGTAAAAATAATAATAAGAAACATCCTAAAAATCTCCTTAAGAACAAGGGAGGTAATACCTGTATATATAATAATTATATAAATACAATGGGTCATCAGTTAACGGACATAATCCATTCCAAGACCATATATGCTACCTGAACTATTTGTTAACCGATTATCAATTTACTACATAGTCTTGCATAAAAAAACTAGCACATGTAAACTGGAACTACTATATACTAAACACAAAAATTCACACCTAAATGCTAATTCCAGCAGTAATTGAACAAAAATTTTAATGTTCAAGCATTATTGACAGTTATAAGTTTTCAAATGATAGAACTGTTTTTGTGTGTTTCATACATTCCTGAGGAGGGCCTCTAAAAGACAGCGGAAAATGTTAGAACATTAAAATTTTTGTTCAATTACTGCTGGAATTAGCATTTAGGTGTGAATTTTTGTGTATAGTCTTGCATTTTTATCAGTCATGTTTTTTTTTTTTTTTCATTTGTAGGTATTAAAAAATCAATATCAATTGCTATACTCTCTTCTTCAAGATTTTTCAGAAGTAATTAACAGCATTGTTGTTGTAGAGATCCCCAAGCCTATTATTCTGAATCTGGTCTAGATGCCATTCTAAGACCGTTATTTCCTTTCAAAAGATCTTTAATAGCAGAAGTCGACATTGGTTGTCTCTCATCTTCCTCTTTTTCAGAAGAAAACACATCTTCTGCCCATTCTCTACCTTTGCTATTATACTCTCACCTTTCAAAAATAAAAACCAATGCAAAACTTAATGAGTGCCCGCCTGATAGTCTTGTGAATACTATAAAAAAAATTCTTTCTGTCAGAAAAATAAAAGGCTGGAATTACAAGGGAGAGTTTCAAAGTTCGGAGGAATACTATCCGATCAGTATATACCGGGTTGAGCGTTGATGTCAATGATATTCATTATTCATTATTTTATGTTGCTTCTTCTTGTATTTGTTGTGTGAGGTGAACACCTCACACAACAAATTGTCCAAACATAAAAACTGTTGTCTAAACTGTAACAGACACCCACTGTACTTAAATAGTAGAAAATGCATTTTAGTGTTTTTGGTAAATTTTGTCTTTTAAAATATTTTAAATAGATTTTGTCTTTTTTTATATTGGGACAAATATAATTCAAAATTTAAAAGTTTTATCCAATTGTTTAGGTTCTATCAAGAGAATGATAGCTATGGCTGAATTTTTGAACCTGAATTCCTATATGATTTACCTTAATGTTTTCTAAGTGAATATATGTACAGTACAATAGATAACCAAAATTATTTTTAATTAATGCTCATATTAGTAAAAAAATCATGTTTTATAACTTTTTTAAAAATTAATTTATTAATTTCCATCTTTAATTCTACAAGTTTAATCAGTATTACTAATTTCACACTGATATCTTTAAATGCAAAATATTTTTAATTACACTTTAACTTAAAATATACTGCATTTAAAGGCATCAGTGTAAAATTAGTATTATTATTGTACTGTAGTTTTTTCAAACCAGTTTAATCAGTTTTATTCAGTAAGACTAATCATTCTGTAATAAGAACAATAAAACTTTGAAAATTTAATTTGCACAATTAGCTAAGCAAAATATAAAAATATTTTCATCCATTTTTAAAAACAGACTATTTTAAGCAAATTATTCACTCATATGAACTTATANAAGTTTAATTATTACTTTTCTTGTGTTGATGTATATATTAGTGGGAAAATGGAGAAACAGAAAAAAACAACTAAAAAATAATTCGACTTCGATTACACATGGAAAGACTTCCTCTTTGTCTGGTGGTAAGATAATATTTGAACATTTATTATATCTTATAATGTCATAAATGTAATACGAAACAAAGTGAGTTTATGATACAGTTCGACTAATAAATATATTTGCTGGTTAAATTATAAATTTTCGTCTAAAAACAAGCGTTGTCTATTAACAATTTTTATTTAATATAATTAGTTGTGTGCAACTATCTTGCTTCATGCCTGAGTACCATGCCTGATTGTCACACTAGCTACTTATCTGCTTTATTTATATTATTAACAATTTTTATTTAATTGAATTAGTTGTGTGCAACTATCTTGCTTCATGCCTGAGTACCATGCCTGATTGTCACACTAGCTACTTATCTGCTTAGTCTGCCTCATGATTTTATCAAGTATCTAATCAATTTTGTCTGAAATTATTTTACTTTAAGAAAAAAAAAA